CTGCTGAAATGACCTGGAAGTACTTTAACATTGCAGTCGAGGGCTATTGAGCGTGGAGGGCTGATCTCCATGGCTCATGCACTCCCCTATGATCCACAGAAGGACAAAACCGCTGGCCGATGGTGTGTGTCAAATGCAGCGGAAGTCATGCTGAAAGGACAAACTGAGATTACAGAGGACAAACGGCTTATTTTCCAATTTATTCCATCATTTTTATCATTCCATCATTATTATTATTATTATTCCATCATTTATAATTACATATATGTTTTATTGCCGTTGAACAGTATTATCTACATTTTCCATAAAATTGATCTCATTTGGCTCTCAAGAGCCATATAAAGTGTTAAAGTACTAATACTCTTCTATCTGTTGAATTTAGGAAAACATTACCATGCTGAGTGTGCCAATCATAGCATGAAAAACTATAGATGATCCGTTTGAACTGCTGAAATGACCTGGAAGTACTTTAACATTGCAGTCGAGGGCTATTGAGCGTGGAGGGCTGATCTCCATGGCTCATGCACTCCCCTATGATCCACAGAAGGACAAAACCGCTGGCCAATGGTGTGTGTCAAATGCAGCGGAAGTCATGCTGAAAGGACAAACTGAGATTACAGAGGACAAACGGCTTATTTTCCAATACAGTGCTGTAGATAATGTCTTAAATTAATGACCCGGCATAAGAAAAATAGAGATAAATGTAACTTACAATCGTGATATGAATAACTATGAAACTGTCATTCGGAAGCGCTTCCATTTAGACGTTTCTCCAAGAAAGACTTAATCGAAAATGTCAGCTCAGCAAGAAGCAGCTGACTTCCTCCCGCCCTATCTTTTGTAGTCCTTCCTTAGAGAGTCCGTCCCCCTGAATACCGGCTCGCTCTAGAATCCCGTGACCTTGAGCAAATCGCCCGGCTTTCCTTTTGTCTCCCTCCGTTATGTGTCCTTTCTTTTTATTTTTTTTTTCTTGTTGCATTTTATCATAGCTGTTAGCCATGAACTGGTGGATATTCTGCAATGAAATCTGTGGAACTCAGATGGCTTTTTATAATACGGTGATGGATCATGTTGAGGGCTTGATGAATCGTGCCATCATTACTGTAATGAAATGTTTTCCTGCGACAGCCATGATTTTCACAGAGCAAATTGAAGCAATAGAAATTAGCAAAGCAACACTGTAATTGACTTGGTTTGAAGCTCAGGAAGAATAATCTTTTTTTTGTATCTATAATATCTATAGGCAGAGTTTGGTTTTTGCATTTTTATGAAACAGATTTCCGGCTCTGTAATCTGACTAGATATGCCACATTCAAAGCTGATGTGAAATAGCCGAGATGCACAGACCTATGACTGCGTATCAGTCAAGTTCTGTATTATTATGCCCATTTGCTTGCCATAAACAGCTAATGAACTCACTTAGCAGAGGAATCGTTTTTTGGGATTAATATGGCTAATGCATGTAATAATTTATTGAACATTGGCATTATCATGTTCCTGTTTATACAATAAGCCAAAGTAATCAAGGTGGAAAATGCTGCAATAAAAGTAGTCCAAGTTGTTTGTTACACCATTATGGGGAATTAATGGCAACTTGAAATCGAAATTGACTCTGTTTACTTTATTAATACATGTTCCTAGTCTTATTGGCCTTCTTTATGTTGCTTTTGCATCCTATTTATAGCTTGACAGCCTCAGTCTTTCATTTTCATTATATTGAAAAGATAAAATAAACAAAAAGATTAACAAAAATCACCTTTTGTATTCCACAGGTCATCCATTCCAAATCTCCATCCTCACAACAACTACTTTAAATTTTTATTTAACTATTATTTGATATATATTTTTTAAACAAGTTGGCAAGCTGGTAATAAGCTATTGCATTTTTCTGAATTCCCTGTCAGAACTGGTTGTTTAACTTCCAATTATTTAATTTAATATAATTTTTAATTAACTTTTTTATTTAATTTATTTGTTTAATTTAGTTTAGTTTAAAATTTTAATTTAATTTAATTTTTTTTTATTTTTATATCACCTTTTGTGTTCCATAAAAGAAAGTTAAATGGGTTTGGTAAAGCATAAGAGTTATGTCTGAGTAAATTATGCTTCCATTTTGAGAGAACTATTCTTTAACTATGGTAAAATCACTGTAACACACAGTCCTCATGGCTTTATTCTACTCTAATTGCTTGCGACCTCACATAGTTGGATCTAAGGTCCATTGTTGAGGTATGACTCTATGAAAAACGTTTACCAGTCTTTCTGTACCCCTTTGACACTTCCACTATCCTCATTTCTCCATCACAGTCATCTGTTTCACCTGTTCATCTGACTAATTCTGGTCTTGCATTAAGTTTTCATTACAGTTCTGTGTGCACGCACACCTTGTAAGGTACAAGTTAATTAAGTTTATGCGTTTGCTGGCACATAACCCAGGCTTACAACGCGGTGCTTGATTTATGCTGTCGTCAAGGACGATCTATACTATAGCTGTGTGGAG